AGATAGATGGATATATTGAACGCAGTTTTGATGTTTAGGGCAGGCCTTGAATGTCCTTGAAGTTAGCTAGGTTTAGGGCAGGCTCAAAACCTAGGCAAGTCGGAAAAGAGTGGTAATAGTGTTGGTAATTATAGATAGTAGGGTCACTAATAAGTCAGTCAAGTCGGAATTGCCAATACTAAATAGATATAACCATGTATTACAAAGTTGGAATAGAGATTACCAAGTATAATAGACATGGAAGGGCTCACTAAGTCAGATCATAACCATAGCATTGAAAGAAGGTCATTGCTGAGTTTGATGTTTTCTGGTGACAATGGTCATCAGATGTCAGTACTGAGAAACCTGCAAGTCGGACTAGTAGTATGGATAAACAGGGTTGTCTAGGTCTCATTAATAGCCAATAAACTCGAAATATCCTATTGGAAGCAGCAACATTCAATACAAAGGTGTAGGAGTTGGAAATGTGTTCACAAGGGAAGACCATTACAAAGTTTGAGACTATGAAAATGCGATCACAAAGTTTGTGATGTTAAGTAAGAAAGGTGATTACAAGATTAGTGACCATGAAAATGCGATCACAAAGTTTGTGATGTTGAACAAGAATGATCATTACAAAATTAGTGACCATGAAAATGCGATCACAAAGTTTGTGATGTTGAACAAGAAAGGTCATTACAAATTAGTGACCCAGTTAACTCGATCACAAAGTTTGTGATGTTGAACAAGAATGATCATTACAAAATTAGTGACCATAAAAATGCGATCACAAAGTTTGTGATGTTGAACAAGAAAAGTCATTACAAATTAGTGACCCAGTTAACTCGATCACAAAGTTTGTGATGTTGAACAAGAGTGATCATTACACAATTAGTGACAGATAGTGTCTGTATTGACCGTGGGAACGTCATTTGTAGTGTTCTGAAGTGACCTCAAATGTCCAAATATCGGGCTACTGAGCTTCCACAAAGCTGTTTCAATAAAAATAAAACATGGTACGGGTATATGTAAACATATCCCAAGGTCCTGACAGCGTTTTTGAGCCAATCAAATTCGGACGCGATTTAGTGGACATCGATTTTCACGCCTCGCGCAGAACGGTACCCGTGGGAACCTTGGGGGGTCGTTTTCCTATTACATGAAGGAGAGCTGAAAGAACTGAATCAATACACGATCACACTGTTGGTAGTTGAGATTCACTCGAGTACGCTTTCTGGATTACATTGGGGTTGAACACAAGTTTAGTACGCCTCATTGTTCGTTACAGTGAAGTTGAACACTGGCTTAACGCCTGTTTAGTACGTTTCACTGGTTATTAAAGGGATTGCTGGTTTACGCTGGACCGAGTCATTGATATACCTGATCATCAGGGCGTACTGACTTGGAAAGTTGAACCTGTCCATTGTAGTGGCTTTCGAGCTTCTATGGTCAATTCAAGTCGAGTACCGCTTGCGGTGCTCGCAATGATGAAGAAAGTGGATTACTTGCTTATAGCTAAATCTATTGCAATTAACTACTTGAGAATCCGTCGTGACTGTGCGCTTCCAGTGTCGGTTACTGATAGTTCTCTCTGAAGGTTACGATCTCTGTTATTAACATGACAGGGAGAAGTGATCTGAAATTTGTGAGATCGAGAAACAAGGCAATTTGATCGAAGCTTTTGATCGATTAGTAGGCCGCAAGGCTGAACGACGTCAATTGTATCGGTTGAATCTTATTCACCATAATGAACTCCAGCTTGGGAAAGATGGAGTATGCCGTCTAGTACTAGGCTTTGCATCTCTTCCGAGACGCATTCAGGAAAGTAGTTACCTGGTTGATCCTGCCAGTAGTCATATGCTTGTCTCAAAGACTAAGCCATGCATGTCTAAGTATAAACAAATTTGTACTGTGAAACTGCGAATGGCTCATTAAATCAGTTATAGTTTATTTGATGGTACCTTGCTACATGGATAACTGTGGTAATTCTAGAGCTAATACATGCAATCAAGCCCCGACTTCTGGAAGGGGTGTATTTATTAGATAAAAAACCAACGCGGCTCGCCGCTCCCTTGGTGATTCATAATAACTTCTCGAATCGCATGGCCTTGTGCCGGCGATGCTTCATTCAAATATCTGCCCTATCAACTTTCGATGGTAGGATAGAGGCCTACCATGGTTTCAACGGGTAACGGGGAATAAGGGTTCGATTCCGGAGAGGGAGCCTGAGAAACGGCTACCACATCCAAGGAAGGCAGCAGGCGCGCAAATTACCCAATCCCGACACGGGGAGGTAGTGACAATAAATAACAATATAGGGCTCTTTTGGGTCTTATAATTGGAATGAGTACAATTTAAATCCCTTAACGAGGAACAATTGGAGGGCAAGTCTGGTGCCAGCAGCCGCGGTAATTCCAGCTCCAATAGCGTATATTAAAGTTGTTGCAGTTAAAAAGCTCGTAGTTGAACTTCAGACCTGGCTGGGCGGTCCGCTTAACGGCGTGTACTGTCTGGCTGGGCC